TCTTTATCGTTTTCGGGCCGTTTTCTATTTTCGATTTTTCAAAACGGTGAAAACGTGTTCTCTTTCCCGTTTTCGAAAACGAATTTTTGAAAACGAAAAAAAAATTGTGAAGAAAACACAAAACGACTTTTTTGCCGTTTTGGGGCGTTTTTAGTGTAAAACTTGAAAAAATTGAAAACGCGGGAAACACCATTTTTTTTAGGAGGTGGTGTGGTGATTCTCAAAATTTCAAAAAAAAATTAAAAATTAATTTTTTTTTTGAGGTGGTGTTGTGGTGATTCTCAAAATTTCAAAAAAAAAATTCATTTTTTTTTTTGTTTTGAGAAACTAATAAAAAGAACGCATTTTCAACAATTTCAAAACAAACACTCAAAACACAATACTCAAAATGAATTCAAAACACAAAACTGAAACACAAAAAGAACACCCCCTTATTGATTTGAAACTTTATTCATAGCAAATATTATCACTGAAGGTTTAGGATCTCCGTCTCTAATTTTGTGTAATGGACTATAATTCAACTTCGAAGAGGCGTAAAAAATCGAAGAAGAAGTTTGTGTGGTGCTGGTGGCTTAAAACTGTGTCGAGTGTTGGCTGGAGTTCATCTGAATTCTGAAGAGGAAAATGACTTTTGATAGATTATGTTAGTTTTGAGATTATTAGATATAAATTAGGATTATTAGGGAATAATAATAAATATGTATTAGAAAATTAGAAATAGATAAAAATACCCACAAATGACAAAATTATTAAATTTTACATATTTGGATGAATTTTCAAAAAATTTCATTTTTTCATTTTTATATATTTTTTGCCGGTCCGGTTTGGTTTTAAACCACAATTAAAATTCTCAAACCTAAACCAAACTATTTTGACAGGTTTGGTTTGGTTCAAAACCATTTCGTTGACCGGGTCCATGTGGCACCAAATCGATGGTTTCTAAAATGCGATTTCGGTTCGATTTTTCGATTTTGCGGTTTTTGCTTACATCCCTACTCCAAACCTTCAATCTTTCCCAATTTTTTCCATAATCCAAATTCTTCACGTTTTTTCGTAATTACTTCGATCTAATCTTTTTGTGTTGACGGTTGTTGTTGATCTCGCGAATTGGACTTCCACGTGGTCAACTGAGAGCCACTCCACGTGTTCCTCTCTGCACACAACAACACACGTTTAGGAGCACACGGTCGGAACCAATGGGGGTGATGGCGGCCGCATACACTCCGACGGTCAAGTCAGTGGTTGATGATTGAAACGGTGCTAGAATTGTGCAAGAGAGTAGGGAGGAGGATATATAATGTTTGAATGTGGAGAGCTAAGTTTAGTATGAGTTTTATTACCTTAGTCTCTTGCCAAACTTTGGGTATTTATAAACGAGGAGCACCGTTGGATGTGGGACACATGTATGCATCTGACGGCGTGAGACGTTTGCTCGTAGGCGTCAATCAACCACATCTAGAGTGGGCGGGTTATTAATTCCCCTGAGTTGAGTTGACATAAAGTTGATGTCACATCAACTAGACCCATGAAGATGTCACATCCATAGAAGATCCTGATATAGATATGCTCATGAAATTGACAATGGACGTATCTGTTAAGCGAGCAACTCGGAGAGCCAGACGCCTCACTTAAAGGGGGACACTTCGGTTGTGTCAGTAGATTTAGTTTGTGAAGTGTGTGCCTTGTGGTGCGTCAAGTTGGAATTCGACCTAAGTCAACATCACTTTGGAACCATGTCGTAGGGACACGTGGCACCTCGTAGAGGAGAGCAACAGGATTTTCGAAGTGGTTTGATGCGGTGCGTAACAGTTGTTGTTATATAATTAACCAATTGAGAAGATATTGCGGAGAATCCGATTATAATCGGGCTCCACCATGGAAGTTGAATAGAATATTCACCAGGCCGGCTTCCACCTCTACCAAATACTGCGAACGCTAACCCACCACTTGGCTAACGCCAACACCACCGCCCCCGACCCGCTGATGTGCTCCAGCCCCTTAAGTGTACTATCGAGGTACCAAAGCCTCGATCCCAACAGCGACATTGCCTTCTTCCACTCGAACTGTTAGAACTCTCACTGAAGGCGAGGCTTTTGTACTTGGAGCTGAAGACCTTAATTTTTTTGCATTTCAGTTTAAGCGCCTGCATGGCAAGAAACTCCAGCATGCATTTAGATACTATTCTTACCAGTGGAAGACTCGGGGTGCTTGCTTTCTACAAACCGCTTGGAGGTAAATGACCTTTATTCTGTTAAAGAGCATTTGCCATTTCTTTTCTTTCTCTTTATAGAACTGAGCATAATGTATTTTGACATAAGGGGGTCCTCTGATGCTCAAAAACACCCCTTACGTATCTGAAAATACACTATGCTCAAAATTTTGACAGGAGAAATATTTTCAAAACAAGTAAATACACAACTGAAGTAGCCACTCTCTTTTGTAAAATACTCGAACAGAGGCATGTCGTCAAATTACAACTTAAATACATTTTTTACAGACGTCCTGTAGCAGTTCTCCGTATCAAAATTTTGATCTTTCTCGATGTCAGAAGAATCTATAGCAAAGGAATATGCAAATCTCAGTGTCTGATAGTTTGTGAAGGGTTAATACTTACTAGTATTCGATGCCTTAGGTTTAGGGTACTGATGACCAATCTGGTGAAGACGCTTTTGTCCTAGTTGATATGTCAACAGCCTCCTCTAATTTCAATAATTTGGCCGATGGATGGTCTTTGCTGCTTAAGAGCCGTACATGAAAGGGCTAGCTCGAATGTGAGCTCTAAAGCTTCTGCTGAATACTCTCCATGAAGTTTTGGATCAGCAAACTCTGCTGTGCTTCCATATTTGGTAAGAGATTTTGCCTGTTCACAAATGAAGGAAGAATTATTTCAATTATTACTAGAAACCAAGAAAAGGAAAGACGCAAGGGACAGTGATTACAATTTTGTCTAATGACATTGGTTTCTTCATATTCATATTTATAACCCTCCTCCCAGAGAGGATTTGAAGGAGTACTACTCCGAAGCTGTAGATATCGCTAGCTGCACTTGCTAGATGGTTGCTTTGGTACTCGGGATCAACGTAGCCAAACGTACCTCTCACTTCTGAGCTCACACAGGATTCATCTAAGTTCATAACTTTGGACAACCCAAAGTCGGAAAGCTTGGCTTCAAAGTTTGTCCCGAGCAGGATGTTTGTTGGCTGTCAGACGTAAGATGAACTTCAATTGATCATTGTGAACAGTCATGCAGATATTGGTGCAGAAGTTCAATAAAAAGGCTTGGGTGTCGAACCAGACCTTGACATCTCGATGAACTATGCATCCTCCTGGAATGTATGGAGAAACCAGAGTCCTCGAGCACTGCCAATCGCTATCTGAAGCCTTTGAATCCAGGACAGGACTTTATCGTTCCCTGATAAACATTAAATTTATCAGCATAAGGAAAAAGCTAGTTCGGACAGCAGACATCTTAGGCAGATGTAGTCTTTACCATAAAGCCACTCAGACAGGTTTCCGTAGGGACAAAGTTCATAAATTAGGAAGCATTCGCCTTCAGATTCACAATAACCCAACAAAGCTACCAGGTTCGGGTGTCTGATGTGCGCTAGGCTTCCAACTTCCCTCACGAAAGTCTCAGCGCCTCCATCTTTTGTAATGTGCTTTATTGCCACTTGCTGATTCCCGGAAAAAAGGCCTTTGTACACATTTCCTAAATCCAATAAGACAATACAATAAAGTGAAGGGATACAATTATTAGTATATCATTACACAGATCAATTCAGTATCATTGTTATTCCTAGGTTTTTCTTAAAAAACTTGTGAGTTTGTCTAGAGAAGCTTTAATACCTGATGTTCCTTGGCCGATGAAGTTTGATTCATGTAGATTGTTCGTGGCAGCATATACCTTCTCGACCGGGACTTTAAGAATAGCAGGCTCCTTTGACAATGCCGATAGTGCAGATTTCCATGCTGGAAAATTTTACAGCTATGTAAAATGAATAAGAAACATTCTTGCATGATCTATCAATTATAAAATTAAAACCTACCTTCTTTATTAACCGGTGAGATTAGCTTATGCCGCCTTCGTGATAAGATCCATGCTGAAGAAAGTAGTACCACAAAAAACCCGAAAATGCCTCCAATTAATACGAATAAGCCTGCTCTACAAGAATGTTCATAGAGTTAGCGAAAACCCAAGTAAGTACCTAAAACATCTGCTTCTGTACCTTTCATTTCAATCGAGCAATCTTCCTCCTCAGTTGAATTCAAGAAAAATTTTCCGGTTACAATTGCACGTAGCCTTAATGCATAAAATAAGTCACAAACCGCTTCTTCCCCACAAAACGAGTTATCTAAATTAAGACTGCAGTTTATAGAAGAAGAAGAAGAAGAAGAAGAAGA